AGAGAGAAAAAAAAAATTTCGTCTGTTCAATTTCGTTTTGAAGAGAGAGAGAGAGAGATTTTTTTAAGACTGACATACATCGTTTGTTTCTGAGGGCATAACAGGAACTTAAGCAAAAAATTAACGGAGTTAACACGGAAACGAGGACGGGGGAGCGTGCGCAAGCAGAAGTATAATAGAAGGGGGTATGGCGCAATTTTTAAAATACAGGGGGGTAATGCGCAGATTTCGTTATCTTGAATTCTTTTTGCATTTCAATTCCTCCCGAGAACACACATATATATAGTATAAAAAGAAATCTCTAAAGTTCAAATAATTGATCATTGCCAACTAATTACAACCAAATGTAAACAAATGACAACCAAATTCCACCTAGTGACAACCTAATTAATTCTAAAACGTGCATTAATAATTTAACACCCCCCCCTCCCTCCTCAATGCTCATTTGGATAATTCCATGTTTTTTCACGTAGAGTCTCGAATCTTGGTCGTGGTAAAGCCTTTGTGAAAATATCTGCAAGTTGATCTACAGCGGTGACATACTTGAGCTTTGTCTGCTTGTTATTATTTGCTTCTCGTCGAAAATGATACTTGATAGCAATGTGTTTGGTTCTGCTGTGATGTACTGGATTTTTTGCCATTGCTATCGCTGTGTTGTTGACGCAGAATATCTCTGCTGGACTTTATTGGTGTTCTCCCATGTATCTAAGAATACGCCTAAGCCAAATAGCTTGACTTGTCGTTAGTGTTGTTGCGACATATTCGGCTTCTACTGATGATTACGCCACACAGTTTTGCACTTTGGATGACCATGAGAATATGCCTGAGCCAAGTGAAAATGTGTAGCCTGAGGTACTTTTCATGTCATCAGTTGATCCAGCCCAGTCACTATCAGTGTAGCCGACCAGTCTTGAATCTTTGTTATGTTCGTATTGGATTCCGTAGTCTTTAGTACCCTGCAAATATCGCAATATTCTCTTCGCGGCTCCATAGTGAACTTGGCTCGGACTTTGCATTAACCTTGACAGTAGACTTGTTGCGTACATGATATCTGGTCTTGTGGCCGTTAGATATAGTAGGCTTCCAATCATGCTTTCTGCATTTGGTGTATCATCTTCTTTAGTGAATTTCTCATTTGCAACCATGGGAGTAGCCACTGGTTTCCAGCCGTCCATCTTGAACCTTTTTAGTAGATTATCTATGTATTTTCTCTGTGAGATAAATATCTCATTTTTTTCTTGGGTTACCTCAATGCCGAGAAAATAGCTCATTTGCCCAAGGTCTGTCATCTCAAAGGTTTTCATCATATCTTCTTTGAACTCCTTAATCATCTCCCCATTGTTCCCTGTATAAATAAGATCATCTACATGAAGAGAAACAATGAGTTTGTTGTCATTACCTTGGGTCTTGATGTAGAGCGTTGGCTCAATTTCACTTCTTTTGAATCCATGACTTGTGAAGTAGTCATCAATTCAGCAGTACCAAGCCCGTGGGGCTTGTTTCAATCCGTAAAGCACCTTTTTTAGCTTTAGGACTTTATTTTCTTGTCCTTCTGCTATGAATCCTTGAGGTTATTCGACGTAGATCTCCTCTTCTAGGTATCCATTGAGAAATGTTGACTTGAATCGAGCTGGTAGATTCTCCATTTCTTCTGAGCTGCAAGTGCAATTAGAGCTCTTATGGTGTCTAGCCGAGCCACTGGAGCGAAGGTCTCATTATAGTCGATCCCGAGCAATTTTGAGTACCCTTTAGCTACCAGCCTTGCTTTATGTTTTTGGATTGAGCGATCTGGATTAAGCTTCGTCTTGTAGACCCACTTAACTCCAATGACTTCCTTGTTGTTTGGTGGATCGACCAACTCCCAGGTTTTATTTTTCTCGATTAACCTAATTTCTTCCTCCATGGCTTTTACCCATTCATTTTGCTTTATTGCTGCTTCAAAGCTCTCTGTTTCCATCGTGGCAAAATTTCATGTCTCGTAGATCTCACTGAGTGTTCGTACTTTTCTCTGTGGTGATTTTGGGGATGACTGTTCGTCACTAGATGGTGATGATAGCCTCAGACTTGAAGATTGTGGAGCTGGAAGTGATTGTGTACCTTCTGCTCCATCTTTATGTTCTTCTGGTATGATATTTTGCCCCCGTCGTGTATGTACCATGATATTTTGGTATTCAAATTTTTCTTCCTCCTAGTTCCACGCAGTATTTTCATCGAACTTGACATCTCGACTGATAATTAGTTTACCACTCTTGAGGATGTAAATTCTGTATCATTTAGATTGAGAGGCATAGCCCAAGAATATTCCTTTTTTAGATTTCTCCTGAAGTTTGTGCCTCTTTTCGTTTAGGTTGTGCACGTAGCAGATACTCCCAAACACTCGTAGATGTTGGGCTGACGGTTTTCGTCCACTCCAAGCTTCTATTGGAGTTCTATTTTGGACAGCTTTAGTAGAACACCTGTGGAGTAGATAGACTGCAGTGTATACAGGTTCTGCCTAAAATTCTTTTGGCATGTTCTTCTCTGCGAGCTTGTCCTAGCCATCTCTTGTACGATTCTATTTTTTCTTTTCTGACACGCCGTTTTGCTCTGGAGTATAGCCGACAGTTAGCTGATGGTTGAGTCATTCATCCTCGCAGAATTTGTTGAACTCCTTGTATGTGTATTATGTTCCTCGATCACTCTGAAGTACTTCAGTTCTTCTTCCACTCTGATTTTCGACGAGGCATTCAAATTTCTTGAAGATAGAGAAGACTTCGGACCTTTTTTTCATGAAGTACACTCAAGTCATTTTTGTATAGTCATAAATAAAGAGGATGAAGTACCTGTTCTTTTTGAAGGTTGGCGTCCTCATTGGTCCACATACGTCGGTATGCACCAGCTCCAGTATTTGTTTGGCTCTTCCTGCTTGGCTTGAAGGAAATGGTTTCCTATGTTGTTTGCCCTCCATGCATTTTTCGCAGATATTGTCGTTCATTTAGATGACAGGTAGATATTTCATCATATTTTTCTGATGGAGTAGCTTTAGCCAGTTGAAGTTGAATTGCCGAACCTTTGGTGCCATAGCCAGGATTGATCTTCTTCGGCTTTTAGTGTTGCTTCTACGAATTTCCAATGGAGCGAAAAGTTTCTCCGTTGTTGCATTTTTACTACAGCTATGGGATTGTTTTTGTTGTCATAAATGGTGCAAGAGTTGTCTTTGAAGAGTAGTGTGTATCTTTCTTTCCACCATTTGTCCCACGCTGAGTAAATTAGTTTCAAGTTTTGGTACTAGCAGCACATCTTCAACGAGACGAGTACCTTTTTGGGTCTCAACCTCAATTGAGCCTTTGTCTTCAACTTCTACTAGATCTCCATTGCCCAACCGAACTTGTGATTTTACAGATCTATCAATATTTTTAAATTTCTTCTAATCTCCGGTCATATGGTTGCTGCAACCGCTACCTAGGAACCAAATATCATTTTTCCCTTCTGATATTGCATGTGTTGCATAGAATAACAAATTTTTTCCTTTATCATTTTCTTCAGAGAAATTTTCTTGATAACTTTTAGCGCGGCAATTTTTCTCTACATGACCAAATTTACCACAATTTTTACATTGTGGTTTATCTCGGTACCAACAACCCTTCTCAAGATGGTTGATTTTCTTACAAACTCCACAAGGTGTATATTTTCCTTTTTGTTGATTATTATTATTTTCACCTTGATTTTTATTTTTAATATTTTCTCCAAATCTTCTCCCACAATTTTAGAATTCTGAGACCGTAAATTTAGTTTTGACTTAAATGCATTTTCGCCTGTATCATTTTCATGCATACTCAGTCTTTTTTCATAGGCTTCAAGTGAACCTATTAATTCTGTCACTGACAAATGATCCCATCTTTAGTTTCTTCTGTCATTGTGATGATAGGATCATATTTGGTTGGTAGAGTAATTAGAATTTTTTCTACCACCCTTTTGTCAATAATTTTTACTCCATAAGATTTAAATTGATTTGTACGGTCTCAGATTCTTTCATCATCATATTTTTCAAATCTCTTCTTAGTGTTTGTAATTTCAGATGACGTACCTTGTCACTACCCTGGTATTCTTCCTTGAGAGTATTCCACAGCCTCCTTTAATGTCTGTGCTCCGCTAATTCTTGAAAACAGGGACTCCGTCATGGCCATTTGTAGAGTGAAAAGAGTCAAACTGTCTTTTTCTTTCTCCCGGTCGAATTTTTCTTCGTCCGCCGTAGACAAAGTGGATATGTCATCGGGGATAGTATACCCGTTCTCGATAATATTCCATAAGCCTTGAGACAAAATATGTTCTCGTTTTAATGGCCCAATAGTTATAATTTTCGCCAAAAAAAAAAGGAATTGGTATTTGATGGGTGTTTTGGGAAGTGACCATTTTAGAAATTTAGTAGGCTGTGTGAAAATAGGGTATTTGGACAAGATATATAAAAACGGGTGGATATGTGAAAATAGGAGGATATTGGAATATAATTTCGCCCAGCTATTGATCCAACCGGGCTCTGATACCACTGTTGGTATCAAAAATAATTTATAATTAAAATTGGAGAAGAAATTATAATATGCAAAAAAATAATATTGAAAAAGAGAATATTTATGTTATATGTAATGAGAAGCTTTTGAAGAACTAGTAGTATAGATGAATTAGTATCTTGAATTCTTCTTGCATTTCAATTCCTCCCGAGCACACACATATATATAGTATACAAAAGAAATCTCTAGAGTTCAAATAATTGATCATTGTCAACTAATTACAACCAAATGCCAACTAATGACAACCTAATTAATTCTAGAATGTGCATTATTAGTTTAACATATGTCTAGAACTATAGTTGATTTCTTTCTTTCTTTCCTATTTTTCCTTAAATTTGGATCGTGGGTAAGTTAGTAGTAATCCATTACTTTTATTATGATAATGCATATTGTTAAATTTGTTTTAGAGATTTAATTCTTCGTGTTGTGGAAATTGTGATCATAGATCATTCTACTTCAAGTTCATTCCTTGTTTGAACTTTTTTTTTTCCTGCTTCCGGTTGTTGTATTTGGTCACTGCATTTAGTTTCTGGTCTCGAGATGTTGTACTAAATTAATATTTAAGAAAATTATTATCTTGGCATTTGCAGCTAGAGCAGAAAGTCAATGAGGTCGAACAGTTTTATTCCAGTTCAAACACAAGGAATGCAAACATTCCGAAAAGTTGCCCGACTTTGAAGGACAAATACAGGGAGAAGCTTGTCGCAAACTTCATTAAGAGGCAGCAACATTCGGCTCATAGGCAAGCAGATGCTGCTAGGAGAAAGCGTGATCTCATGAACCCGTTTGAGAGTCTTTACTTAAGGTGCCAAACCAGGAATTGAATTTATTTCCATATAACTGTTTGTATATATCTATATCAACAATTCTTATTTAACTGGTATTTTTGTTAGGTTGGTATGTTTTAATGCATCTATTAAGTATCAGGACGCCAGACATCGTTGGATGTACAAAATGAAAAAGATCTACAAATTTGATATTCCGGATGCTCACTGAAAATTTGGATTCCAATTTGATATAGAATGTGGGGTGCGTATAGACGATGTCATTCATGAATTGTAATTATAACAGAGTTCGGAATTTTATCCCAAGTTCAAGCTAGTACTCAAATCAAATCTGCTAAACTTTAGCTCAAAGCAGGATTGTTGATTTGAATTCGACAAAACAAATCCTTGTTCATTTCGAATATGTATGTCCAAAATTTATTCAGAAAATTGAAATTGAAACTTAGAGGGAGTTTCAGATCCTATTCCCAAAAATAAACACAACTATGTAATGTAGAGGATCCTTTTAGCAGTGAGAATGTTGTAGCATCTATCCCTATAACTAAAGTGTCCGAGATATTGAATGTGGGTGCATAGCACGAGCATTGTGAAATTGACAATTCCACATTTTTTAATGAGTTGGATTTTGAGGTTATTCATTGTTTTTCATTTGTCAGATGACTCAACTTAACTTTCACCCTATTTAAGGTCTTACTTATATACAAGTTGCGGGTTCGGCCTGAACCCTACACCCTTCTGGGGTGTTGTTTGTGGAAAATATAAATAAATAAATAAACTCCTGTGGGCTACACCATTTTTGGACGTGGTTGGTCTTGGTTTGCATGACTACTAGGAGGTTAAGAT